TACAGTAAATAATCTTCTTACCAAGGTATGTAAGATTACTTGTTGATAAACAGCAGTTAGTACTAGTCTCAGCGTTGGGAATTCTTAAGTCCTAAGTGACATACAAGATGCTTGATGTCTTTATTGTAGTTAGGACTATGTTACCTATTACCTACTATCTCAGAAGCTGGCATTTCAGTAATATCAGCAGGAGGTTTCCGTAAAGATTAATGGTGAAACATCTTGCCTAAAAAACAACCTACAAGCTTGTTCAAATAGCCAGATAGCATGGGATGATTATATTAGCTTAATTATATTTTTGTTTTACTTTCTGGACATGCTCTGATTCAGCACTATGATAGTGGTGATCCTGCAACACAAATGCCTAAATTTATATATGTAACATAGATGGGACTAATCCTGTCACAGACCAAGATGGCTCTGGGAAAAGCCATTAATCTTTCTTTTTTTCCGTTTTCCTAACAACAAAATAGGAATCATTGTCCTAATACCTTTTGGAAGCCATAAACTCCTCTCTGACAATAGTGACTCCTTGACAAAATAAGTATTATTTGGCTGACAAGCAGAAGGGTGAACATCAAGTTCAGTGTATAAATGCCTGTTGGCAGTATTAATATATTAAAAAAGAAAGCTTCAGATCTGATTTATGCTAATAGGGAACATCCACGCACTTGTATTTTTAAAACTTTTAAAATATATTTCCTACCTCCTCACTAAGATCAAGATGTCTTCATGGGGCCACTACAAAGTAACAAACATTTAGGAGAAATTTTGTTCAAAGTAAATAGTAAGCAGCAGACTTAGAACTAAGCGTTTCTAAAGTCCAATCACTTGTTTTATCAATAAAATATCATTCTCATCATTGGAAATAAGAATTATGAATTTTAATTTAGAATTAAAACAGGAAATGGGTGAATTAAAACACAGTTAACTATTATGAGGTAAATCCAAGAGAGCTATCAACACACTTCAATTATTTAGACAAGAATGAGTTTAAAAACAGCCTAGAATATTTCAAAACCTATTCGCCCGTCATAGAAGACAAACACAAAACTATATTAGTAGAACATGAAAGGAGAAATACATATAGGTAAGGAAAATTTTTCACTTCCACAAACATATAAAATGAAATTATATACGGAAAACACTATGTGCCATCAGACACGGTACCTGTATCTTGTAGTATTTCCAGATAGGTGTTGGATGCGTGAATTAGCTTCTCATGTAATTAATCAGCTTAGTTCCTCATTATGAGTTGGCAACAAAAAACAATTAAGCTAGATATAAATAGAAATTTTATGAGTTTCATTTGACTCTTACTCACTCTTGCACATTAAAAGGCGTACATTAATGATTCGCACAACATGGTTTTGTTTATATTCTCAAAAGACAATAATTAAGAGATGAAAACATAATTGCTTTCTATTGATAACTGTTAGGGAAATGAAGGGAAAAGATTAATAGGGATTGCTGACCAGTGCCTAATAAAGCAACCCTGGAAAAAAGTACAATTTCACTCATTTATGTGAGTTTTGTCACTGATTTAATGGAGTCAGGATTTTACCTAACAAGGAGCCTGGCCTGAATAAAAGGAATTTTTGTCCACTTGCCAGGGTTTTTTTTTAATATGTAGGAAGGATCCTCACTTTGTTTTTGTAGGTGCCATAAAATATCAGTTCTCTAAAAGAGGCATTAAATTTGTTCCACGTGATTGAAGCAATGAATATCAGTTACAGCAAAATATACAGGGAAATATCATTCCATCGTTTATTTCAGGAACTTTCCAGAAACCAGATGGCTTACTTGCCTTCGCTAACACGGTCTAATTTTGTAGATAGCCCTACTTTGAGCAGGGATGTTGGTCCAAAGCTCAGGAAGGGACTCCAAAGGTCCCTTCCAGCCTAAATTATGCTGTGATTCTGTTGGCAGATGGTCATCTCCACTACCATCACACAGCAATGTAACTGCCCACAAATATGTATAGCATCTCTTCCATTTTTCATATTTCTGTTAGAATTAATCCATCTTCAATTATAATCTTGTTCTTTACAAGCATCTTTACATTCCATATGTAGTGACCAACAGGTGTTTTGATCCAGGTGCCATACGCACTGTGAGTTGTCTGATGTAAATGCTTAATCTGTTTGGTAATTGTCATTAGTAATCTACACAATGCTGATTACACAGCGTATATGGCCAATGGCACGCTTCAAGAGCTGTAGCAGTAACGGCTAAGTAAGATCTCAGCAGACAATCACAAGGAGTGGAGAGAATGGATCACATACCAAGTACATATACGTTATCAATAATATCGATAGTAGTAGTGCTGGCAAACTTATTTCTGCTCACGACAAAAAAAAAAAAAGTGGGAGCTGTTGTGCCAGTGCATGTTCCTGGGCCATGTTCTTCTCAGTACCTGTTGGTATTAGCTTTAATGGTCTTGCTGCAATGATCAGTAAAGCACTTCAGCACTACTAATAAAAACTTTTCTTACTGATGAACTCTGACGACTGGTAGGACAAATGGACAAAGAATAAACGTGTGGTTCTTCTTGACTTCCTGTAGGGAAATCCGTATAGGCAAAGCTCTCGGAAGGTCAGAAAATCTTATAACCAAGGGAACATACATATTTTGCAGTGGCACTAGCACCTCACAGCAGCTCCACTGGTCAGTGCATCCTCATCAAACTGGTTTCAATGGACCACTAACAGCAAGAGGGATAAACCTTGCAGACCTAAAGGGATCTACCTTGCAGATATCCATAGAGAAGCCTATAGCAATGACCAATGTTTGTGAGATGCCTTTGTAATTCTGGGATCAGTTCTGCACAGATCTTTGTGGAAGCGGTCTTCTGCATTGAGAAGTTTCTGCCCAGCTCTAGAGGACAACATTTCCACACTGCCTATGTTGGCGTAACTACTCTGGGCGCATTGGGAATATGCTCTTAGAAAGGGGAGGGATTCCCCTTCCCTTTTGCCACCCTAGTTTTAGCATGCCACTCAGGGGTGCTGCCCAATAGGCATGCCCAGGGCAAGAGAGACTTGCCTGCAATTAGAAGTGTGAGGGAATCTCCAACAGAATTTTTCGCTACTGCTAGCAGGCAGCTGCTTTTGTAACTGGTCACTTAAGAGGCTAAAGCCCTGGCAATAAGGCTGGTACTATGCCCCCCCTTTCCCTGTGATCTGGAGTAGTCCATACCAAACATGAAATTTACTCCAGGTTTATACTTTGAGTTGCCCTGGGGCCGGTCATGGGTCCAAGACCTGGGGGTCACAAGAAGCCTTGGAGAACTGATATGAAAAGTTTGATTGTGTATGTCCCAAATCGTAGAAGGCTAGAAACGGTTTATACCTAAAGTTTTTCCTTGTAGGGTGTTAAAGAAAAAACGAATTTTTCTAATCATTTATACTTAGGCTTACATTCAGCATATCATGTTTATCAAGATCAGGCTATCATGCCAAGTCTGCTTAACCTGGAAAAAAAAAAGTTCTTCAGACTTCTCCTTTAAGATTAGAGCTAAAAATACTCCCCAAACCATAGGGCTGAATCAGCAACGTACGCGCTCATGGAAAGGCCAGTTCTTGGCCAAAACCTCACAAAACGTTCACAGTTAATTGCACTTCTCGGTTCCTTATCTTTGGGGCATCTGCAGCAGCAGCGGCGGCCACGCCGTGACATCTGGTGGCTGCAGGCCAGTATGGCAAGAGCATCGCACCGCTGCAGCCCTACCACGCGAGAACGGCCGTGCGAGGGCTCCCGGTCCTATCACGCCTAACATCGGCACCCCCCCACCCCACTTCGCGCCCGGGGCTCGGCCCCGCCAGCCCGGCCCTCTTTCGTGCTGGGCCCCGGTCTCCGGCGCCGCCATCGCCCCCGCCCCGCGGAGGGGAGCGCCCCTCTCCCGGCAGGGCCTGAACCCGGCGCTGTTGCTAGGCAACGCCGGGGGCCACCCAACCAGGTGCCGGGTTGCCCCTCGGGCCCCGCCCCCAGCCTCGTTCCCGCACGGAGGCGTCAGGCTCGCCCCGCTCGACTCCCCCGTGAGGCTACTTCGCCGGACGGCTCTGCCCGTCGTCATCCCTCCGCCCCGCTCGCTGCCGCTTCCGGGTTCCGGCGCCGCTTAGAGGCGGGGCGGA